TGAAAATTGCAATAGACGCATTATAAATATGCGCAAAAATAATTATATAATAAATCAACAATGGCAGATCCAGGAATTCGAATGTGGGGTGAACCAGGGAGGGACTTTCACAGACCGAGAAACCACCCACCTCATTCCCACCATGGTTGGGGCTGAGGTAAGAGAATTTATGATTAGGGCATCTCTAGATGGCCGGAAATTACACTCTCGCACTTCAATTTGAATATATATTTTTTTTCTTAAAAAAATGAAGGGGGAGGGGGTTTGAATCCACCTCCGCTCAAAACATTCTTCATCTAAAATAGTCATAATCACGAAAAATGGACACAAAAAAAAAGATCACATCCTAAAAACAATTAACAGCACTCACTAAGACATACATCAGGAGCCGACTCGATGGAGTTTAATGTCATACCCAAGGAAGGGCACAGATCTGTTTTGAAAGGTGGAGGGGAGGGCATTCTGTGAGTCGACACCCACCTCAGCCCCACCATGGTTGGAGCTGAGGTGAGAAAATAGTACCTCTAGATGACCAGAAATGACACTTTTAGTAAAATTCATCATCATCACATCAAAATTAGTCAAAATCTTTTATTTTTTACAACCATAGAGATCTTATTCTTGTGTGTGATATACCATAGAAAACAAAGCTTAGAAACATTGTCCTTGAGTATGTACTGGACGTGATTTCACAACCACCTCAGCCCCACCATGGCTGGGGCTGAGGTGAGAAAATTTGAGGAAATAGTACCTCTCGAGATGGCCGGAAATGACACTTTTATATAGTAAAATTCATCATCATCACATCACCATATAGTCAAAATGAAACGCCAACAATTTTCTCATTATCTTTTATCGGGAATCTACTTAATACCGGTATCCAGGACAGCTTACTAAGCTTTAACTATATTATGATCAACAAATCACAACTTTTTTTTTTCGCATTAAGCACAATTTTCTTTACTTTTTATTGCTATTAATATTATTCTCAATTATTACTATCGTCGTCATCATCATCATCATATGTGTTCTATTAGGCCTATGTATAACGTGTACTGATGCATATTTATATGTTATAGAAGTATTCATTGAGTGATCCCAGGAAAGAATTTGTATTGGCTCAAGAATAAGCTTCAAAATGTTAACACTGTGTACAAAGGCGGGGGGAGCCGCGGCTCCCACGGCTCCCCCCCCCCACCCTGGATACGTCCCTGATTAGCGCTAACCGATCGGACGTTCACACACGAGTGCAAAGGTTAGCGCTAACGGTTAGCTCCCAATCCGGATACCAGGGCTCTCGTGTGAACCTGACCATTGTGACGTGCCCACAGCGAACCTGATCAGTGTGTGTAAGAATAGTGACGCTGGCGTTCAGCGCATTGGACACGCGGTCCGAATTTTGGTTCGGATCCTGTGCGAATTCAGCTGTTGGTTCCTTTTTAAAGACCCTTCATGTCCTGGAAATTAAACTATTGAATTCTGACAGTTTTCTTTACCTAAAGATAAAGTAATCATTCTATAGAAATAGAAGACGTTAGTAGCAAAATGACTATGAAAGATGGAGAACGAATGAAAGCCTTTATATTCATATTAGTATTGTATTGTGTACTGTACTTCCAGATGTCGCATATGTATGAGAAGGTGGTGAGTGTGCTTTCAGCGCGTCCAAGTGTACGGAAAGAAAATGACATTAATGTCCTCGTACCCTGGTTTCAAGTGAGGTCAGATTTATTCAAGAAATTGCAAAAAGGTAAGCTATGTATTAAGAGCTTTCATGTTTTGCCCTTTGAACACACTAAATAAACTTTCAAATCACATGCCACTTCGTTTTTATGATAGGAATATACTTTCATTTATCAATCATAAATCTTACTAGTTTGTTGCCTTAGAATATTTGTCTAATCCAATTATTTGATTTCCTCTACACAAAATTATGGGCAATTTATTTGACATTTGTTGACATTTACATTTTATTTTTTCCAAAACATCATTAAGGAGATCTGTTTGTTTAGTAATGTAATTTATTGTAACCACAATATCTGCTTTCAGAAACATTAAAGGATATTATACGAAACTGCGAATTCCGGGAATACGAATCAGATCACTTGATCATTAGGCAGGGAGACGAAGGTCACAGGTCAGCGAGTATATCATCATGCTTAATTTTGCCATCAACTTGTTTGTTGATTTTTGTAATATTTGTCATGAATTTATCAATGTACGGTATATTATCTTGCATTCTTGTTTATGCTCAAAGATACACACTTTGAGCATAGTCATGCAAAAGCGGCAGTCTGCATACGAGCGGCGCTATATTGGAGTGCCAGGAGAGGTTACAGTCCATTTGGCAGATCAAGCCACTTTCCGTGTCAGCCACGACCCAAAACGAAATGATAATAACATGAAAATAATGATTATTTTTATTATTTCTCTTTATTGCATACAAAAGAACAAAAAAGAATACATGTACGATAGTATGCAATAGGAGCCAAGAAAAATAGCCAAAGCTAATCGAGCTTGAGCCCCTTTCAAATTAAACATTAATACATATGATAAAATATAAATTAATAGTATTAAAAAAGATGTAAAAGGCATCATACTTAATATTTATTAAACAAAATGTCTTTAATTTTTGAAACAAAATTTGTTCTTGAGGTGGTCTCTTTCAACTCAAATGGCAAGGGATTCCACAATTTAGCACCAGTAGGCCTATAAGAGATTCTGAATTGACCTAAATTGGTTCTGCAGCTGGGAATGGCTAAATTGTAATCACGGTTAAGTCTTGTTCTATGGGTATGGTTAAGTTACTAAAGTAGTCTGTTAAAGTATGTGGCAATCTATTGTTAAAAAGGTCAGAGATAAAATTTAAAATAAATAATTTATGTACTCTATATATGTCTAGAATTTAAAGATTATAAAATAAAGGTGCAGAATGGGCTTTAAGATCTGAAAATGTAATACATCTGACACATATTTTTTGAGTGCGTAAAAGTATTTGTAGGTATGAATTGTATGTGTTGCCCCATACCTCAATACCATAAATCAGATTAGGTAATATAAAAGAATTATAAAGCATAATCAATGTTTGCTCAGGGACAAAGTGCCGTAACTTAAATAAAATACCAACTTTTTCTTAAATTTTATTGTTTTCGTAATGTATATGTTCCTTAAAATTAAGATGCTTATCAAGCTTAACTCCAACGAAAGAAACAGAATTACATTCAGAGATTAAACTTGAATCCATTTTAAGAGAACCAGATGTAGTAAAACTTTTTGACTGAAAGTGTATGTAGTTTGTTTTATCTGCATTTATTGTTAATTTGTTAGCATTGCACCATTCTATGACGTTTTTAAAATGATAATTAACCTCGTCAAGATCTAAAGTATTACCAATAAATGATTTAAATAGATTTGTATCATCAGCAAATAATCTGAAATTTAAAAAAATCGGACGAATTTGAGTTCCATAACCTCTCAGAACAAATAAAAAATAGCCCAACAGTTCAAGTTCTCTGGGCCCAAAAAGGCTTAGTCCCTCTAGATGGGGTTCTGTGGCCCTCTGTTCTTTGTTGACATTGAGACTCCGTTCCGACAGCTTTGTCCTGCCCCCTCCTTCAATATATATTTTAGAGTAAATGCTATATGTGACGTGTATAATATATAAACAGCATGAATGCCATAATGTAAATAACAGGTAGTAGAACTGTTTAGGCCTACATTTCTAAAAAGCATTATTTAGATATGTGCGGGCTCACTCTCACAGCAATAAACGTGGGATTTTAATAGTTTCTATCTTCCGTAAATAAAAATGATAATTTATTAGCAAATTAATATTTGCATTTTTGTATTCACATCATTTTTTAAAAATGAATTTGTTTTATTTATAAAGATTAGGCCCACACATTATTCATTCCCCCGCGTCGGCCACTACTTGAAAACGAAATGATAATTACATGAATGAATTCCATAACCATTAGAAACAGTCCAGCATAGATCAGGTTCTCTGTGCCCCCAAAGTGCTTGTCCCTGGCATGGGTGCCGATCGGTGGGGACGGGGGAACACCCCCGCATTTTAAATTTGGGGGACTCTATAATATTTCGAATGTGGCCCAGGGACGAGGCCCCGAAAATTTCGACAATTTAGATGTTTCAATTATTTTATCAATTTTAGAATCTACTAAATGTATAGATCAACTACTGCATGTGACGTATGTATAATATAAACAGCATTTACTCCAGTGTAAATAGCAGGTAGAGGCCTGTTTACATTTCTAAAATTATTTAGCATGCGCGGGCTCACATCAATAAACATGAACGTGGGATTTTAATAGTTTCTATCTTCCGTAAATAGAAATGATTATTTGTTAACCAATTAACATTTGCAATATTGTATTCACATCATTTTTGTTTGTTTTACTTATAATTATTACACATTATACCTTCTCCCACGTCGGCCACGACTTGAAAACGAAATGATAATTACATGAATGAGTTCCATAACCTCTAAGAACAAATTAAAAATTGCTCAACATAGATCAGGTTCTCTAGCAGGGGTGGCGCCAGGATTTGCCCGACTGGTGGGGGGAGAGGTCCCCAACGAAATCAATGTGGGCGTAGTCGAGCTTCGATTAAAAGGTTTCCAAAGTGGTCCAGGGTGCAAAGCTCCCGAAAATTTTAAAAATTTAGGGGTTTCAAAGGCTTGTCTAATCGAATTTTGAGCCTACTAATTAATATGTAGAAAATACATACCGGTATAGGCCTAATTTTTTTCTCCCCGACAAATCGTGCTTTTTCTCCCCGACCGGGGGGGGGGGGGGGGGGGCAGCCGCTCTCCCCGACGTGGGGGATCTGTTCTCTAGGCCCAAAAAGGAGCTTTGTCCCTGGATTTAGACGGCGGTCCTGTGGCTCTCTCTGCTTTTGTTGAAATATGAGACTCCTGTCCGATACTTTGTCCTCCCCTCCTTCAATATATATCTTAGAGCAACTGCTGCACGTGACGTAGGTCTATGTATAGTATAAACAGCATGAACTCCATAGTGTAAATAGCAGGTAGTAGGTCTGTTTACATTTCTAAAAAGCATTATTTATATATGTGCGGGCTCACAGCAATAAACATGACCGTGGGATTTTAATAGTTTCTATCTTCCGTAAATAAAAATGATAATTTTAAATTACCGTAACATTTGCAATTTTGTTTTCACATCATGTGACGTATGAACTCCATAGTGCAAATACAATTTAGTAGGCCTAGGTGTTTACATTTATAAAAAAAAAAACTTTATTTAGCATGCGGGCTCACAGCAATAAACATGAACGTAGGATAAATAAATAAAAATGATAATCTATTAGCAAGCCAACATTTGCAATTTATCATTTTGCAGGCCTACAAATAAGTTTGTTTTATTTATAATCAAATTATTCTTTAATTTTATTTGAATAATGGATAGGCCTATGTAAACTAATTATTATGATTTGAAAATCACACTTTTTTATTTTATACTGAGACCCTGTAATAGTGACATGGTTCAAAAATATCAAATATTTTTGTTCTTAAAATAATCGTTCATTCGAAATGAAATTAAGAAATCAAGATACAACTCTTAAAAATGTCCAGCTGTATAGTCGCCTTCACTCACATTTGCTATTGTTAAGTTATCCACAATGCATTAATAATTGATCTATGGATGGTGTTCTGGTTTATAAATGTAAAGTTTCCTTTTTTAATCAAGAAACCTTGACTCAGATATACCGGGATAGCTGAACGCGGATAGCGGAGCTGGTTTAACGTGCAATTAGTTTAGCAAAACATCCGCCGAGCCCGCATGTGACTATGAGTCATGGCCATGTGACCGGGTATTGGGGAGTGTGGATCGTGGGTTGTCACCCTCCAAGAAGAACAATGCCTGAGCAACGGGCGGATGCTTCTATAGGACATACCGTACATCACAAACCGCACTTGCAAACAATGAGGTTTGCAAGTGACGTAGTATTCAATCATGTTTAGTTTGATCAGTAGGATGCAATTTGCCGGTGCACAGTATGAATCAACCAGAATCAGTTTATTTTGATTGAAAACACAACATTCTTTCTTCGTTGTGCCCTGTAAAAACATTAATAGACAATTCGATAGGAAGTAATTTGATTGTAGTTAAAGGAGATTTCCAATTACACAGTTTACACTACAGTATACTAATGTAATTTCCATCATCTCAAGGCAGACAATCTGTGTCATGACCTACTTTAGGCCCGGTGCCGTAGAACGTAATGACGTTACATAAAATCATCTGCGCATGTGAGACTCGCAGCCGCGTGATTATAGAACGCAATTTTGCAATTACAATTATTATGTCCGAAAGTCTATTAAAAATATTATTACACTAGACCTAATCAAAATAAAATGCACCAATTGTTTAATACCAGATAAAAAAAAACAGTTTCGAAACTTGCTCAATTTATTCACAAGATATTGTGTTTGTTTGGCTAAAATATTGTTTTTACTTAGCCATATTATTGTTATTGTCAACTTTATTAGTCATGCAGTGTAAGCTGACCAATTATTTTGTATGATCATATGACAAAGAATGTTCTCTCATACCCCGAAAGGGGTCGAATAAGAAATAAAGTTTTGTCATTGTCATTGTCATTGCCAAATCTACGTATGAAGAGAAGAACGTAGGACGGTCACGCATGAGTGATTCAGTTCTAGCGTCGCGTCGTCGGGCAAATCGAAAGCTCTCTAATAATAATATATTTATTAGAACATACACCTTCAGATAGGTGGCACTCCAAAATTATTTAGTGCGTTCAACATGAACGAAAACAAACAAGTTAAGATTCTTAGCCACAAGTACGGTATAAGGTAACAAAATTATAAAACAAATCATGAAATTCTTAAGTATAAAGGAAATAAACACTTGTGCTGGTGATGAGGCAGGTAGCCCCCCGAAAAACATTACAAGGAAAAACAATTGCATGAACAACATACCATCAATGGACTCTACAATAAAGTACCTTTAAACAAAATTGATTAACTACAAAAAAAAATCAGTATTGTTATTATGATGCAATTATCGGCTTCCTATTATAGGAAGTGAAACGGGATGCCTGGGATGAATTAGCGGCATCAATATTGCAACA